GAGACATCCTACAAAAATGATAGCATAGCCACTTAACATCATAATATCAAGGTTCCGAGATCAACTATCAACACATGCAAGTAGTAGAAAGTAGACTGAGGCTTGAATCCATCAATCCTATAAGTTTATGGATTAGTAACACGTGATCCTGATAGAATGATTGGAGGCCTAGTTCTTAATCCCCATAGAAAAGAGGCTGACTCAGCGAAGAGAAGTAAAAAGAGCCCTACGTTCCCTTCCAGAATCAATTCCCTTACATATAACTAAAGCATTTCTAGACTCGACATCTACCAGTTTAGCTTGTTGATCCTACATGCAGTTCGACTCTGATGCCAACATTGTCAGGACCCCTATCCTAATCACACCGATCTAGCATGTAATATATCATATCACTGTGTGGCCTCACGCACGGTAACCCATGGCTGACACCTTACCTTGGCCGGGACTGTTTGCGCCTTTTGGCTCACGTATATGATAGTGTCACTAGCATCTATATGACAGAGAACCCAAGCCGACATTACTAGTCATAAGCCCAATGTTGCACTAAATTACTGGGACAAGCATACATGACCCAATGATGCACGTGTTGATTAGCAGCGAGTGCAACCGAGCTGTAGCAAGCTAACAAGACTCCGATGAATACCACGTGACATTTCCCCGAAGGGACAAACACAAGAGCAGTGAACGGCACATGCCGGTCAACCCATGTGTTCTGGAGCAGTAGCAAGCTACCATGGCTCAGTGGAAGCACTAGGAGGCATTTCCCAATAAGATAGGCTACCAAAAATAATTAAACAACTACGTGTTGAATCCCACACATGCCAAGCATTTCAATAACATACACACAATATGCTTGATATGTGCAAATACAACATGGCATCACAACAAAACTCTACGTCTAAAAGTATTTATTTAAAAGGCTCCGAAGAGTCATACATAACATTTACATACATGTATGGGTCTTTTGACCCAACACTCAAGTCATACAAACATACAAGCACATGCGGAGACGACGATGAGGAGCTCGGCAGCGGCGGCCGGCGTTCGGGCAAGCGTGCAGGTGGCGTTGCAATGCACAAGCTGGCGGGCTAAGGCACTAGCGAGGCCCTACGTGAGGTGGTCAGCGCGTGGGACACGCCGGACTGGCCGTTTGGTGGCTGGAGACGCATCGACTACGAGTTTAGGCGGCGGCGCGTTCGGTTGCAGGCGGTGCGGTGTCTATGGCATGTAACAGGGGAAACAGAGAGGGGGTTACGGGTCCGTGGCTCACGGCAGTTGTAGTGGTGACCTCAGCGAGCTCGGGGAGGGGCTGGAGTTGGCGGGAGGTCGCCGGCGATCTCGTCGGTCGAACAGGGAAGGCGAGGTCGGGGAGGTCATGTCGGGGCGTGCGAGCGCTCGGGTCTCGGCTGGCTCGATGAAGCGGACGACGGCCGCGCTCGTAGACACGGCGAGGAGACGATGAGAGCACGGTGGCTACGCGGGCAATGGCGACGAGCGAGTGGCGGCTTCGGCCATGGCGGGGAGAGGCGCGAGGGAGAGAACAGGAGGGAAGTGAGGGTGTCGGATACAGTGGCGGAGCCAAGATTCGAGTATAGGGGGGCCGAATACGTATATTGATCGAATCTCGCTGATAATTACTAGTTGCTTCTACTAAAATTGTTGATCGTTGGGGGGGGGGGGCAGGCCCCTGCTCGTCCCCCTGGCTCCGCCCCTGGTCGGATAGCTCAGGACGGCACCGAGGAAGCGGGTCGAGGCGTTGCGGTGGCATAGGGTGATGCAGGCAAGCAGCCAGGAGGCGTGGCGCCTCGCGCGCGTGCGTTGTCCCTCCTCTGCCTACTGGCAGAGGTAGGTGATGACTGGAGTGGGCCAGCTGGGCTGGGCCGGCGCAGGTAAGTGACCCGAGGCCTTTCTCTCTCTTTCTATGTTTTCTGCTTTCTATTTTCTGCTGTAGTTTTGGATTTAGTAAAAATGCTAAATCATTTAATTAGATCTGGAAAATTGTGGCACTGTTAGAACTATTTCCAACAGCCCTCAACCGTTTTCAGAAACATTTGGGCATTTAAAATATTTATAAGATTTAAATGCCTAAATTAAATACTTTATGAATTAATTTGAAGATACAGAGTAACTCAAAAACATGTGCACGATGTTAGGTAGAGGTTCTGGACCACTTCAAAAATGATAAACTTTTATGGATGGCATTTTGGGTTCACTGAAATCATTTTTAGTTAATCCTGGTATTTTCAGGGTTTGTTGATCCCATTTCAAGGTTAAAAGAAATTTAGATATGGAGCAACAACCAACTAGTCCAAGTACATAGCTATACTAGGTTGTGACAATATTGGGCGAGGTGGATTTTGCCGTTGACTCTATGTAGATCGAAGATTTGTCTGAATTGTTGTTACCTGGTTGCATGGCGTACTACGTCGCTGAAAATCATCTGGCGAGAACATACACTGTACAGGTAACGCGGCAGCCTCGAGGTGATTGATCCGCATCTCCCCTCGCGGAGAAGGGCGCGTGCAAGGCAGCCTGAAAAACCACACAAAAAATGTTGTTGCTTACGGTATGCTAGAAGGATCGAGGACATACACAAACACACATAAACGAAGCAATCAGGCAGCGCAAGAAAGTCCGCACGCATCGAAGCTGTGTACAGCGGCCGGACAATCCACTCGCAGCACCGGGTGCACTGCAGTAGAGGATGCATGTGGTAGCAGGAGTATCACACTACCACTACTTGTAGGAGGAAGGCGCTGAACCGACGCGACGGCGCGTGTCTCGGCGCGGCGCACCACGTCTCGGCATGCGGTGTGACGCGTTTGGGTCCTTGGACACGCAGGAGCCTACGTGTACGTCGATATCTAGTGACTCGCCCATGCAAGCAGACACGGTAACCGAATACAAGCCAGCCCACGTACTGTCAGCCTCGGTAACAGCACAATCTGTGGCCAGCCTGCACCACGGCCCACAGCTATACTCTGCAAACTAATTGCTCCTGCGTGGCCGAGGTGTGAGCAATACCACGTCGAGTTCATGCTTAAAGCGTATAATGTCGGGGGAGATTAGTACAGGATCAGCTTTTTAGATGAGATCGTAGGATCAATTCAAACATTTTATTTTTAGATAATCCAAAAAATCTTAAAAATTGTAAAATACCTGTGGGGTATGTCTATAACTTCGAAGAATAATCAGCTCAAAACTCGATCTAGAGCTAGAGATTCGAAAAAGACAAGTTCTACTATAAATAGTGCCAGCATTGGTGTGAATAGTATTTGACACTATTTACTTCTGTTTTTGTCCTTTTTGTTCCTCTAAGTGTAGTTTGAATAAGAAGCTGAAACTTTTTAAGTTTGTACATCAAACATGAATGTGTCTTTAAAAAAATACAAAATTTTTGGACATGTTTTCTATTTTAAAAAAATTCGATCTCAGTCATCTCACCTAAAAACAGATCCTATACAAGTCTTCCCCCTGTAGATGTCCAAAATCCATCCATGTTGGGCTACTTCTAGCCGGATCCCAATTCCCCTGTCTCTTCTTTTATTCCGGCATCGGTAATTAGCATATTGTAATGATGGATTTGGACAGGAGTAAGACGACATGCAGGCCCACGCAATCAGTCAGATAAGTGTGATTCGAATTGGGATTATTGTCCTTTTCTTTGGGACAAATAAGTATTTAGCAGAAATCAACCGGGACTGACTGGGATTAGAAAGTACAGGGTGACAATTTCAAAGATTTTAAGTTCAAGGTTTGATTTTGACCGAGAGCATGAATTCAAGGTTGATTCAGACTATTCTCTCCTGAGGGACTACTAAACAGAAGCTATGGTAGCCGCACAACAAAAATTAGGCAGTAAAACTAAAGTTATACTTCTTCTGTCCGAAAATACTTGTCTCAGAAATAGATGTATCTAGATGTATTAAAGGGGACATGTGCATTGCTTAATTAAACTTACATCCTCTTTCTCTGAAGGAACGGTGTTCTTTACTTTTGTAAGGCCTATTTAGCCGTTTTATATGCAATTCTGCATTATAACATTCGTACTGCTAGCGGACATGTTTGTGCATTGTAGTGAGAACAATTGTTTTATCTAAGCCACTTTTACCATTTCGATTCAGTTTTGATTCTAAATCATCAAATTCATGGCGTGCAACTATGGCCACACTCAGGCAACATCTTGATGTGCCGCTTGATACTGAGAAAAGGACGTGTCTACGAATTAGGTCTAGTTAAGAAAAATGCATATATTTGTCATCATTACGTGTAGTGGAAAATTTAGTTTGAAACCTCCGGCCTCTTGATCGTTGCGATGCATACAATCATTTTTGTAAAGTTGATGTATGGCAACGAGGCCGCAATCATCGACAAATAGAGTACAAGACATAGATAACTACAAACGAACCATGTTAAAGGTTTCAAATCAACACTTATTATTAAGTCAACTTCTCGAGCGATAATGCCTTCAAGAAGAATTAAACGCTCCCGCGTCTTCGTCGTCCAGTCTGACTGTAAATGGTCAGACAAGTATTTCTTCCTACGAGACAACACCTTGAACAAGATAATGACGCAAGTTCATCGTTCCCGAGACTAACAAATCAAGGATACAAAAAGGATTTTCACCCCAGATATGAAGCGGTGTTTCAAACACCATCTTGAACACAGACGTGCTTCCAACTCTGAAGGACATAACTTGTTTTCATTGTGTGCCTACTTGAGATCTCTCCAGGATCCTGCTATTGTACTTTAACACTGCTATGGTTTGATATGTGGCAATCAGAAATGGTTGAGGAAACCTCCATTCCGAGGGAAAATTTAGATATAAGCACAAATTTCCTTTAGAAAAGAAACATATATAATGAACAACAACCTCATGTTCAAAGAAAAGATAGGCTAACTGCAGATCTGATATGATCATACATTATTCTCAATACAAACATACACGCATGCAGTACAGTAGACTGGTTTATTTCACGACAATTCAATTGATCGTGTGATCAGGTGCTAAGCTTACGAAAGGTCATGGCTGCGCCATCCACTGGCCTTGGGTGCGGAAGGTAATTAATCTGTGCATCGGGATTGATCAACTCCCATATGATACATTAAATATGAATCAATATCTTCTTTATATCCTAACTTAGTTAATTACTTAAGCTAAGCAGAGCTAGTGTTCTACTCACTCATAGCCAACGCAGAGATGATGCAGGATGATGGTGACCTGCAGCCTAGCGAGCATGTTGCCTGCGCAGATCCGAGGGCCACCTCCGAACACCTGGTATGTTCCTGGCTTTGCCGGTCCCTGCATTCATATGCCCTCTTAGATTATCACGCAAAGAATATAGCTTCTATAATTCAAAAAATCATTTCTATTTTTCACTCTAAAATGCAAATAATATCATCTATGTAGGATATGGTGTGTGAATTTTATGCACACAAACCTTTTGTTTCGAAATAGGGCCACTTATGGGAACTGTGTAAAAATGGTAATATAGTTATTTGCTTTATTTTTACTTAAATAGTACATGGTCATATTTTTTAACCACAACTCACATGCACATAGTTCATATAACTTGCTTGTATATATGGTTTTATTTTATTCAGATTTTTTTAGCCATCATTTTGTTTTCCGAAAACTGGCCAGGGGATAAATTGCTTTGAAATATAGTAGCTTAAGGTGGTTAAGTGAGCTCAAATAGGAAAAAAATCTGAAGCAAACCGATATTCTAGAGGAGGAGTGGTTTTTTTCCTGAGTTGATCGATGCATGATGATAAACATGAATTGCACATGACAAGTACTAGATAGCATACTTACATCCCATCTGTCAGGATTGAAGGAGAGGGGATCCTGGTAGTAATTGGGATCGGTGTGCACTGATCTCAACCACACCAGCACGGCCCATCCCTTTGGTATGGTGTAGCCGCGGTACTCCACATCCTTGTTCGCCACACGGTGGACCATGGGGGCGATGTTGGCCATCCGAATTGTCTCCTCCACCACCTTCGCGGTGTACTTCATCTTTGGGATGTCATCGTGGGTAATCATCAAACCCGTTGACGTAGACCCACCTTTGCTTTTGCTCATCGCTACATTCTCCTCCCGAAGCTTAGCAAGGACAACCAGGGATTTTGCGAGGTGGTAGACAGCCCACATGATGGCGATGGTAGTGGACTCGTAGCCAGCGATGACGAGGGAGATGATGTTATGTACCACCTCCTCGTCACTCAATTTCTTCCCGTGCTCATCCTTCATCTGCATCAATCCGCTCATAAGATCATCACACTCCTTGTACATCTTCCTTGCTTGCAGCTCCTCCCGGAAGACGGCATCTAGCTTCTGGCGACACTGCATATCATTAATTTGTAAGATTATTTTCTTAATTTTTCTACGGTACAAAATATGATTGTAAAACCGTACTTGTTATATCTCGAAGGAATAAAACCAGATTGCATATTAAGTGGTTTAGAATTTCACAACCGATTGAGTGGAATTTTAAGAGTTGACGTGGTTGCACATTTCTATATCAAAATTACACACATTTTCTAGAACATGAACTACCATGCTTGTAGTGGAGAAAGAATGGGTGGTCAAGATCATTAATTTACAAACAAGTACTTCCTCCGTCCCATAATATAAGAGCGTTGTTGACACCAGTATTGTCAAAAACGCTCTTATATTATGGGACTAAGGGAGTATTTGTTTTGGTGGAATTAGATATATACATTTAGAAAAATGGGCAAAAATTGAGCAAATAAAATACCTTTCGTGCAGTGTGAGATGTTGTCCCTGGAATATCAAAGGGGAATGCCCGTAGACCATCAAGCAATTTGCCGAACCACATATCAAACTTGTCTGTCAAAGGCGACGACTCCATGCTTATGAACATCTTGCAGATGTTGGCAAAAGTCACCTGCAACCATTGGTTAATCAAGCTTGAGTTTAGCATTATTGCACTGGATTAATTATGATAATATTGTTTGCCCAACCAGTTTTTATGCACAAATGTTCAACTACGTTTTGCCTCTTTATTAGTACTAGATTTCTACAATGAATTAAAAATTTGAACACAATATATAGAACATATTTGTAGCCCATGGCGAATAACAAATTTCAGATTTCCAGCCAGTTTTTGCACTCCTCTTGGAACTACAATTACACAAACAAAAAAGTTATGGCACAGACAAACGTTCAATTTAAACTAGAAAAATGGAGTAGAATTGCACAAAAAAGTGCAATTTCAACAACAAGAACAACAACAAAATTAAAGAGGAAGTCCAACTGCAGCAAAAATAACAATGTGCGATTGCATAAAAAACGTACAACTGCATAAAAACAATACAACTGCAATAAATACAAAATCGGAAAAAGGGACTATCATAAGTGTCACAGCTGTGATGTGAACACATGGCAACGCCGAATTTTTTCATGACAAGTTTAGTGATGCGAGGATGACAACTTTAGTTGTCAAGCATAATAACTTTTTTCGGATAGCTAATTTTAATATATTTTTCTTTTCGGATGACAACTTTAGCCACATGTGTGAAACTGTTGAGGAAAATGTGATTTGAACGACATTTCATAATCCTTGGTACTGTAGAGAAAAAAAGCAGTCAACTCCTAATAAAGTAGGACGCCAATAACACCCACACGTGTGGGTGTTAAGGAGTCTGCCCACATGTTTTGTGTGGTGTCTAAGAGGATCAGCCCACACGCCTACGTGTGGGTTAAATAAGTAATGCCCACACGCCTTTCTTTTTTCTCGCGATCTGTCTCACATGCCTACGTGCGGGCAAAATAGATAACGCCCACACGCCCGTACGTCAGGCCTCCTACCTCATGGTCCCACACATCCCGCGTGACAGTCACCACGCGCCCCGCAGTTGCCATGGTTTGGACCCTCTTCCATGTTTATTTAACTGCAATTGCCATGTCGCTAAACTACAGTTGCCATGTCGGACAACTACAGTTGCCATGGTTGCTCAATTACAGTTGCCATCTCAGGTCAAGTGCCAGATGCCATTTTTGGACAACTGCAGCTGTTGCCATGTATGGTCTGGTTTACTATATTTGCCATGATTTGAAAAGTTTAAGGGTTGCCACCTACTAATACTAGGCAGTTGCCATGTTTGATCCGCTTTACTACAGTTGTCATGATTTGAAAATTTTAGGAGTTGCCACCTAGTAACACTAGGCAGTTGTCGTGTCGCGCTACAAAGAGACATGACAAAATAACATGTTCGGGTAAAGAAAGAGTTGCCCATCTGCTTACAAGCACACTAGGGCAGTTGCCATGTCCCCTGCAAAACACATGGCAACTAACATTTACGGGTAAAATAGAGAGTTGCCATCTGCTTACAAGCATACTAAGGCAGTTACCATGTATCCTACAAAACACATGGCAACTAGCAGCTTTGGGTGTGGGAGAGGAGACGGGCTTGTGGGCGAACTGATAAATGCCCACACACTAGCACCTGTGCGTGAGCGAAAACTAACGTGTGGGTGAATTGCTAAACGCTCACAATCGATCCCTCCGTGTGGTGAAAACGGACGTGTGGGCGACCAGATGAATGACCACACACCAGCCCAGTCCTACGTGGCACCACAAACATACCAAGATTCGTGCAACCATAAACGGTCGTGGATCCACACATATGGGTGAGATGCAAATGCCCGCACATGTGGGCGTTAGTATTTCCAATAAAGTAATGTGATTTGCAGTTGATTATCTTTTTTATCTCCTTGGCGGCCACAATGGTACCCTTATCCGCCCAGTCTCGCAGGGTAATGATCCTTTTTAGTAGCTTTATTCAATTTCGGAAATCAATTACTATTTTATAACCTGTAACAATTCTTTGTGGGATCAATTCATCTTTATCATTAGAAACAACAGTAATACTTCCCTTCATAGGGACATAATGGACTGGACTTACCCACTGACTATCAGCAATGGTATAAATTATACCTGCCTCCAGAAGTTTTAGTATTTCTTTTTTTACCACTTCTTCCATCTTAGGATTTAACCGTCGTTGGTGATCAACAACCGGTTTAGCGTCTTTCTCCAATTTTATTTTGTGCTGGCATAGAGTGGGACTAATGCCCTTAAGATCATCAAGAGTATATCCAATAGCAGCATGATGCTTCTTCGGAGTTTTCAATAATTTCTCTTCTTCTTGCTCTGCACTACAAGAATATTGTTAATACATGACAGTTTCAGTCCGTCACAGACCTATGTAAAATTGTCATGCAAAGGTATGTGTGACGGATTTAAAATCCGTCATGTATATCGCGTCATAATTTGACCACCGTACACTCCATGAGGATCATCGAAAACCGTCACCGGCCATGACGGATCTTGACCGTCATGACTATGGTGCTCATAACGGCATTAACTTCTATGCCACATCACCATATGACATGGATCTGACATGGCAGCCTGTGTAGTAATCAGCCCATCTAAGTTTTGGCCAACTAAATTTCAGCCATGTCCAAGAGTGGCGGCCCATATAGCAATCGACCCAATTATAATTTAAGCCCATTAATTTCAAGGCCCACTAAAATTCACGCATCTCTCATTTTCCATGGAAAATTTACGCCAATAAGAATTTGACAGAAAGTATATGCTCATGTCATTAGAAAAACAAAATTACAACAACATATCCAAAAATACACTTCTATAGGAGTGGAAAAAAAGACCCAAAAAACCTTAATTTTACAAGCATGTCCCGAAGAACACTATCCTACTCTACAACCAGCACCACGCCCACCAAGCGATGGCCACTCGTATCAGGCGGCCACACACCAACTAGGGGTCTTCCAAGCGGCAGATCCACCCGTCCATGCCAAAGTTGTTAAAACGCATGTCTTTCTTGTTGAAAATGCTACCATAACCAATATCTACCACATGATGAAAAATATGTTGCATTATAAAAAATTACAGCCAGTAGGTTAACTACAAGTAGCTTACTACACATTATCAAGTTCTATATTTTTTCACTCCCAGGATGCAAAGTAGTGCAACACATTAACAAAGGTGTGAGAAGAAACAACTGGTGGCAATAAAAAGAAATGATGAGCATACATAGATCAATAGAGTTGGAAGTAAACTCCGTTTTTCTTATTTTAAAAAATCACTACAGTAAACTTGATAAGAAATGCAGCCCAGCTGAATAATGCGCATTAATGAAAATTCCTAGCCATTGTTTCTCAAAAGGTAAAAAAGAATGAAACAATTCCATGATGATTATGTCTTGATGGAATACCTATATATGATATTCCACAAGAAAAAGATCTGGCATATGTGGCTTACGATTAATCTAGATGAAAATACATTTGTAAGATACTCCTATAGATAAAAATAGTCCGACTACAGATACAACAGATATTGTGTAGAAGACATAAAGGATTGGATCAAGTAGAAGTCAGTTTTTGTATGTATTATTACACATATAAAAATAGTAACTATAAATACAACAAATATTATGTAGTATCACACTTCAGTATATTACGGGCATTACCTGCCCTTACATATTTAGCTAAAAAGGCATAAAAAGTTAGTATAAACATTCTGATTGTATAGCATTCAATATTCATACTTTGTTCCCAAACCATCAAATGCTTGGTACACTCATTAATTAACCAATACAAACAGTTTTGATCATTATAAATTTATAGTTCACCATATCTAAGATTAACTTTGGCATGTTAGTCCAAGGAGATCATCTAGGGATTCAATACAGTGACACATGAGTTCTAGGAACTACACAATTAGGATGATATGTCATATCTCAACTAAATAATGCACAATTCACAATGCTAGCTAGTTATTTGCACAATATTTCAAGTGTCTTCTATTGAGTGAATCTATGAGGTAACACAGAAACAGTTGCTGGTGACATTAAAAGATAACTCTAAGTGAAGACAATGTAATTACAGTAAAACATTGTTTCCCCCTCCATACTATCTGTTATTGGTAGTAATCTCATTCAAAATGGATTAAACAGAAAAAGGAAGTTAATCAAGCCACAAAGAAGATAATTTTTGGCATCCAAGCAAAAAGATATATGCAATACACAACGACTAGCAATTTTTTAGTTCTAGCCTACTTATCACGTAGTACATTTTTTCCATTTTCAATAAGAATACTATTACAGTGACCTACATATATTTGTAATATAATCTGACCTACATATATGAATGTTTTAGCATCCCTCAGTTCTTTTTAATTCACACACCAGGCTAAACATCCGGTTAGCCATACTTCTACCTTATCTTACCAGGCTAAAGATCATCATCAACTCTGGAGCTATTCCAGTGGCATTAAAAGGATGTTTTTGGGCATCATGAGAGAAGGTTAATTCCAATTTTGCAAGTCTCGACACTTGAACTGATCAGAAATTTCACATCAACATAACCACAGACACGGCTAACTACAATTTATAAATCCATGCAAGTTAAACATGTCAAAACAACGTTGAAATCCACATATATTATTTTCCTTTTAATAGGTGTATATCTAAGAAATTAGACATACTAACACATGTATGTTGCGCTACATATATATGATTACTTAGAATGATACATAATCCAGATAAACGGCTTGCATATTCTGACAATGTGTGTGGTTTCTTAATATTTACGCATTTTTATGACATCCAAATTTATAGTTATTTCCAGTTAATAATTAGACAGTGTTTCAGGTAAATAATTCGGTTTTTTCTCAAGTACTACATACACGCATCTGCAAAACAAGTCGATTCTGGCAAGATACAGAGTCACAACTGAATTTATATCTAACAGGTTGAAGTTACCAAATTAACTCCCAACAGATCTGTACCAAATCAACATGAAGACCGGTGCATCTTAGAATTTTTTTAGCTATATCATACT